CAGTAAGTTATGAAGCAAAGAACGCAGCAGCGGCTTTCTGCAGATCCTGTAAAAGAAGACGAATAACGTTAAAATCTAATTTTTTTTTTAAAAGAGCGATTTGTCTAATGAATGAATGGCAGCAGAAGCTCGAAAAACCAGTAATACAAATGAATGCCTGAAGTATAAAAAGTCGGGCCTAAAATCGTAGAAATTTCAAGAAAACTGTGATGAGTTTATACCTGCTCCATGCGTGCATTTATTTCTCGTTTCAAAAATTCAAAATTATCGTCCGTTTCTTTGATCCTTTTCTCCTTCGACTTATTCAGCCTTTTCTGCTCTTCGACGCCAAGTTTTACATACTTCCCACGCAAATCCTCCGTGCTACAAAAAAAAAATATTCATCTGGAGCGCTAAAATATGATGAAGTCCAAAACGAGCAAAATTAATTGTGAGCAACTGCTAAAGATGCTAGGACCGTTCGTTTTGGAAAATTTACTTTCGCCTCACCCGCTCTCTTTAGAAAATTTTACTGATTTGCTTAGTTACTAAAAGGCAGCGCTGGAAACATCTCGTAGATCCCAACTTACTTTTTGATTTTGCGAAGCTCCTCACCTAAGCAACTAGCCTGATCGCATTCTAGAAACTGTGGACAGTCAAAAGAACTGACTGATTTTGGCACCACATTTAAAATCTGAAAAAAAAAAGCACACGCACACAGTCCTTGAGTTTATTGAAAATTCATATAAGACAGTGCTGAAATCCGAGACAGATAGGGATTCTGGAATATGCTCGTACTCTCAGGACTAGATCAGGCTTTAAAAGACCAACCAGTACAATTAGTAAACCGTGTGTTCTAGTGCTATTGCTGCAAATCACCAAGGTTATCAAAAACAATGTTGAGATTGGCTTTTAGTGATATCACCAGTATGCTCCCATGCATCAAGCGACATATTACTGCTAATTACTAGACTGCAAAGGCGCAAAAAAATCCAAAAGTACCGAAAACGAGTGAAGAACTGTAAAACTTTTATTGAAAATTACTCAAAGAATGTGGAGGCTATTGTTGATTATTTTGCAAAACATTCGGAAAAGCATAT